CCCCCCCCACTCTCCAAATAGTACACCGTTTTATACATTTGTCAAAAATTACTTTTACACTCTGTGTAGATCATTATTACTCATTGTTTTATAATGTATTATATTGTACTGTATTTTATTTTTTGATGGATATAATATCTGGATAAATTATATCATTTGTTGTTGTTAAATAACATCTTTATTGTTTTGTTTGACTGTATTATACTGTACTGTACTACTAAGTTTACTAAAATACTATCAATTATTTTAAATACGATGCTTATTAAGAATTACTCATAAAAATAATTTATTTATTTGACCTCCACATCTTCCTCACATGGAATCATCATTCTACCATAATAGCGAAAGGCCCAAACTGGTTTCATACAAACAAAATTTTTTTTACAGCCCCATCAAAACAGAATAGACAACGGACCTTGAGTTCCTGACCTTTAATATGGCAAATAATCCATAACTTAAAGTGCATAATATAATAAAATTTTCTAGCAACATGACATGTAAAATTCATATCGATCTAGTCAAAGTCTATAAAATCCTGAATAGATAAAGCATAAATAACATTAGTCTAACTCAATTACCAGGAGACGACATCAAGGTTAGTAAAAGAAATTTGCGGTCTTTCAATGGACACCCAATCAGTGTGCGACACAAGTCTGCATATTTGCAAAGAAATATATAAGCTTTCATGTGCATACTAGACTCTAAATCCAACACTTGTACCATTTGTCATATGTCACTCTCAGGAATAGGTGGCATAGTTGAAAGGCGATTAATTGCATTAGCCAAATTATTCATCCCACCTCTCAACATATCAGCCATGCCTTCAAGATGATCTTGTTTAGATTTTTTTATTCTTGCTAGAAGTCGGTACCTCTGAATATGCATTCGATTTAAGTGTTTCCTGAGTTGATTGATATTGCTCATGTTGTCTATGTTCCTCGATATTTTTCAAGGAGGCAACATTAAATTAGTTCATCTACCTCATCAATAGTCAATGAACTATCACTTGATTTTCTCAAATTATTACGAGCACCCTTTCTTACCATGTGTGCTCCAGTCTCGGCTTACTTTCCAGTAGCTCCATCCCTTCCACATATCTCAATTAGCTTATCATAAATTACAAACTAAAAGGTTTTAAATTTCTAGGGATGTACTCTTTCATGAATACATCTTTCCTTTTTATTCAATTCTTCTCTTACTCCAATATTTTTCACTATTACCTTCTTCTCCCACTTACCACCTTACTCACTCTCCAAATATTTAGCTTATTTCCCTACAACAAAACACTTCCCCAGCATCCTAGGACTTTCTCTTCTACTTCTCCTAGGTCTGCTCCATCTGTTTCTTTTCCCAGGGTTTCTTCTCCTATCCCTTTTTCACTATCTCAGTTTTCTGCTCCAAGTTCCTCATCTCATCCTCTAGCTCTGTTAACCCTTATTTATCTCACCAACCAACTGAACCTGCTCTTAGGAGATCAACTAGGGGCCATCATTTACCTAGTTATTTGAGTGATTACATTTGTAATTCAGTTTTTTTAACTAATCTTAGGGATGACAAATGGGGTAGGGCAGGGCGGGGCGAGGCAGGGCAAACTCCAAACGGAGCAGGGCAGGGGAATTTTAAAATAGAGCAGGGCAGGGCAAAACAACTGCCAGGGATTAAGTTTTTATTTCTAATTTATTATGCTATTTATAAGTAAAATGAAGAAAAAAGGATGCCACGGAAGATTTAACTACAAATCTATTCTAGTTTCTTATATCTAGAAAGGGATGAAACACAGCAAAGTGTGAAAAAAAATGGATAGGATAGAAAAAACAAAAACTTAAATGGGGCAGGGTAGGGCAGGGCTTAACGGGGTAGGGCGGGGCAG